ACGGCGGGGGGGAGGGAGAGCTGCTGCGGAGCGGGGGAGCCCTCCGTCCTTCCCGCCCACCTGCTTTTTTTCGCCCACTCAGAGAAAAGGGGTTTCTGTGAGGGCCCTCAGTGTCCTGTTCCCATCCCAAGGCCAGGTTGGATATTAGGAAAAGTTTCTACATGGAAAGAGTAAGGAAGTATTGGAACGGGCTGCCCAGGGATGTGGTGGAGTCACCATCCCTGACAGTAAAAGAAACATGTAGATGAGACACTTACAGACATGGTAAGGGTGTTGAAGGGCTTATGGTTGGACTTGATGATCTTGAAGGTCTTTTCCAGCCATAATGATTCTCACCTTTCTCACAGAACGGTTAACTGCATCTGCAAACACCCCATTTTAATAGTATTTCTATTTTTCTATTAATCTCCCTTTTCTCTCTCTTCTCACGAGGGCTTCTTTCACCAGCTTTCCTCTACCTCTCCTCTAGTTGTATGACGAATCCTTTCTACTGTATCCCTTAGCTATTCACCCAAGTCAGGGGAATTTGTTACATTTCCTTCAGCCATAGAAGGAGGAGCTATGTAGGAAAGATAACTCCTTACATATCCTACATATGTAAATATGTTGCAAGTCTAGAAAGTAGAGGCATTTTAAACAGGAGTGAAAACAGATTACAAAGTTTGCAGGTTTTCCGTCTGAAACAATTAGCAAAACAGGAGATAGGAGCCTCTTTAGATATGGCCAAATAGCAGAATGCAGGACAGTTTCAGTGTGTAGCAGGAGAGCAAGCTACCTCTTTTGATTAGTCGACTGTGAGCTCCAGCCATTTTCTGACAAAATGCGATGTGGGCAGTGACCCTCACAGCACAGATGAGCTCTGAAAGTACATTAAGGCCCTGCAGAACTATATGGTTTCTAGGTGTTGTTGGGCAAGAAAGAAGGCACCTTGCTCTGATAGTGGATTGCTTGCGATTAGCTCTACTAAAGACCTTAGACTTGAACAGTTTGATCTGCTCAAGGGATAAAATGAGCCAGCATGCTCATACAGCTGAGCTAATCTCTTTATGTGCTGGATGTCACTGTGCCTGTCACTCCCCTCACAGAGTTATTGGTCCTGTGCAAACAACTGGCAGCAGAATGGAAAGGGGCAACCTTTTGATTCTTGGAGCAATTGTGGAGCTTCCAATGAGCTCAAGAGGATATGTAGAGGTTGGCCTGTTTTGAGAAAAAGCTTCTCATTCAGGC